CCATGTCCTCCCCTCCCAAGGCCCACCCTGTCCTCTCTACACCCCCACACTATGTCCTCCCCTCCCAGGGCCCACCCTGTCCTCTCCACCCCCCCAATGTCCTCCCTCTCACGGTCCCCCCTGTCCTCTATGCCACCCCACCACCACCATGTCCTCCCTCCCAGGGCCCACCCTGTCCTCTCCGCCACCCCTCCATGTCCTCCCCCTTTTCCAGGCCCACCCTGTCCTCTCCACCCCCCACACACACACCACCATGTGACCTGGGTTGGTAGTGGGTCTTCTGTCTCCTAGCTCAGCCTCAATGACTTCCCCTCATTTTCACCAGACCATTCTACTCCATGCTCACCCCTCCACTGCTCTCATCCCAGAACCCCCTGCTAAATAACATTCAGGTCTGCGCTTCTAAGTGCTTTCTAGGTTTTTAAGTGCTTGTCTTCAAGTTATCCATGCTTGATCTAACAATCTAGCTGATGAGTGTGGTACAGAGGGACATCTGAGAGCCGCAGCGTGTACTTCAGTTCGAAGCCTGAGCAGAAAGTCTGCAGTACTCTTATGTTAACACACAAGGTGGCAGACTGCAGGTATAGTAGAGCACCAGCATGAGTGAAAACGCCAAACAGAAGAGCAAGGCCCCGAGTTCAAGCCCCAGCAAACACACACGAAAGGCATTTAAAATCTGTGTGTGTCTTAGAGTACTGGAAGTCTGGGCACTAAGGGAGTCTGTCATCTGGCCTGTGCATGGACAGGGTGTGTGTGTGTGTGTGTGTGTGTGTGTGTGTGTGTGTGTGTGTGTGTGTGTGTGTGTGTGTGTGGAGTCCCTGGAGTGGATGGGGGGAGAGGAGGGAGCCCATGGGGTGAGACTCTGGACCCCACACAGAAAGAGAGACAGCAGCCATGATTTGCATGCTCATTGTTTTATTGGTACAGCTGAGGACACAGGGCTCCGGCAATACAACTTTTGAAGGCCGTTATCTCCGCTTTCGCTTTCTGAAACAAAGAAAGGATGTGATCAGGAAGATTTGGCACGCAGGTCCACAATGGTCAGCAGTGTGGCCGCAGGTTGCTGGCATGGCAAGAAATAACCTACCTCCTTTCCCTCTTTTCTACACCTTCCCCAATTTCTTCAGTATTTCTATTTGTTTCTTCTTGGTACGCACCCAGTACAAAATTTACCCTTAAGTTCTTGCTTAAAATATGTTGGAAATATTTTTCCCACATTGTTTATCTTTTATTTGCCTTTGAAAGTTTTTAGGTATATATTTGGAAAGATGGTCGCTGAAATGTATCTTATAAAAAAGAAATATCAACAACAGACTGAATGTCTGTTAAAGTGTGCTCATATAAAATGCGTCTGAAAAACAAAAACTCATGGCAGAGCCATACAATGGAATAGCATGCAATTATAAAACACAAGCCAGACAAAACAAAACCCACAAAAACAGAAGAATAAAAACAAGAACAAGGCCAGGCAATGGTGGCTCACACCTGTAATCCCAGCTACTCAGGAAGCTGAGATCTGAGGAACACAGTTCAAAGCCAGCCCAGGCAGGAAAGTCCGTGAGACTCTTACCTCCAATAAAATACTAGAAAACCGGAAGTGGCGCTGTGGCTCAGGTGGTAGAACACTAGCCTTGGGCTGAAGAGCTCAGGGACAGAGCCCAGGCCCTGAGTTCAAGCCCCACAACTGACAAAAAAAGAAGAAGAAAAAAAAGAAACAAGAGCAAGCATGTTCAGAAGAAATGTATATACATCTTTGAACTATGTGTTATTTCAGACAAGAATAACACAGAATTTTTTTTCTTTTCCTTCTTTTCTTCAAAGAAGAAAGCTTGAACGTAGTGCCTCACGCACTTACTTGGCTTTCTTGCTCACAGATTGTAACTCTACCATTTGAGCCACACCTCCAGTGTTTTTTTGGTTATTTTGGAAACAGAATTCTCAGACTTTCCCAAATGGGCTGGCTTTACACTGAGATCCGTCTGGTCATAACCTCCTGAGGTGCTGGGATTGCTGGCACCCATGCCCAGCTTTTTTGAATAAAAAACCTGATATGAGTCAAGAAAAAAGTGAACTCATCAATGTAATACATATATACTTCTAAGTGTTTATCCAGCAAAACTAATGGTAGGAGTTTCCTGGGAAGGAGTAGAAAAGGAAAATAATTTATGTTTTTAAAATGTAGCCTTGTGTCTTTCTACCTAGAACAAGTACAAGTTTAAAAGTATTGGGGGGGGACTACACAGTGATTAGCAACATTGTAGTAATCCATCAGGAACACTAGACCTCAGACACTGGCTTCTACGAGGCAGGACAGAGCAGCGCGGCCGGATGGACAGCAGGCGAGGACGCCCAGCGATGGACGCCCAGCGATGGACGCTGAGCCAGCAAGCAGAGGGCCCAAGGGAAAGCCGCGTTCTTCACAACACAGCACAGCACAGAGGATCACGGAACAAAAGGAAGCAGAACCATCCTGGAGATGCTGGATGAGAGGAGCTCAATATGAAAAACGACACGGGATGGAAGACTATAATTTCAACATGTGTAAAGTTGATTCATACGGACACTGTTTGCAAAAGAGTAGGAGTTAGACGTTTTGGCGGAGAATACATGTAACGCATACCTTACCATAGATGACGGATTACGGACGTGGTCGGCCTCCTGGGGACTGCTGCTGGTTCCTGGGACCATCAGAGCCACCCTGTCGCCGCTGCTGCCCCCGCTGCCGCTGCTGCTGCCCCCACTGCCGCTGCTGCTGCCCCCGCCCCTTGCCTCCTTGCTGGGGCCCTGGGCTCCCAGGACGCTGGCCTTCCTGTTGGGGTCCTTGCTGGTTCCCAGCAGGAGGGCGAGAATTCTTGCGTTGCTTGCCTCCTCTTTGTGGAGGTCCCTGCTGAACCACATCCTCCTGGTTCTCGTCTCCAGCTGATCCTGGAGAGGATTCTCCGGAAAGGGGTGCCTCCTCAGGGCCCGCGTCTAGGTTCTCCGATTCTGTGTGGGCACAGCAGGCATGGAGACTGTCTTCTCTTTTCACCCCCATGACCTTCCCACCTGGCCTCCCTCCCCCTCCCCCCAGAACCCGCCTCTCCAGTGCCAGCCTTCCTCGTGAGCTCTGTCTGCTCCTCCATTCCCTCACTACGTGGGAATCGCTCACCCTTACCGTCTGGGAAAAGCATGTAAGGTCTTGGTTAAAGAGTTTTCAGATGAGGTCTCCCCTGGAAGCCAAACCCCTACGATCAGTGCGACAGGAGTTTCACAGTCATTTGACTTCCACTCCCAGACATGGCCGTGATGCACCTACTTCTCCTTCGTCTGCCAGAATGTCCTAGAGCAGCAAGGCCGCGCCGCCGCCTGCCCTGCTGCCTTTACCAGCCTGCTGTGTTCACAGCGGAGACTCATCCCTCACAGTGCGCAGTGGGATTCCACAAAGGTCACACACCTGGCCATGCACCTGGCCAAAATCGCTGATGAAATCGCAGGACACAGCTCAGAGGCAGAGCACGTACCTATCCTGCACGGCCCTCACGCCGAAACACAAAACCAGTCCATGTGAGTGCCAGTCATAGGTGAGAAAGTCTAAGTCCTTGCTGCTGAGTGTGGACCAGCCAGTGTTCCCACGGTTGCCTCCCTCCTTGTCTGCACTCCACTTCCCTTGATCCTGAACCCCTGATCCTCAAGCACAATCAGACCCCGTTTCCCACTCCTCCGTGTACCCTGAGTACAGGCAGCACCCGTTTCCTGTACCTTCATCATAGCTCTGAGCGGAGCTGAGGGCCAGCAGGGCCGCAGTGAGCAGGACCAGCAGCATCGTGGAGGAGGCTCTGGACAGGCTCTGGAGTCCGTGCTGGGAAGCAAGGTCACTGGCTTTATGAAGAGAACAAAACAATGGAGCTCTGAGATCACCCGATGCCCTCCCGTCGGGCAGAGTGGGGCTCACGTCCATCATTTCTTTGTGGGATTAGCCCGGCAGGATGAGGGTGTGGAGGAGGCGGCCTGTGGTGTCATTCCTAAAGGACAAGAGATGACACTTTGGCAAATCTTGAAAGAAGAGTCTTTCGTGCAGTTATTCCACACACTGAGATCTTATCCTCATCGTTTGAATCTCGTGCTGACGGAAGCCATCCTGTGCCTCCATGGTTAGTGAGCGAGGTTCGTTAGTGTGTACACGTGTGTGTTCATGTACACCCCCCACCCCCATTCTTCAGCCAAAGACGAAGACAGTTCACACTCATGGCTACCACTGCAGCCCCCAACTCCACCCTCTCCAGTGTATGTCCCCCTGTGTCTTAGTCAACTGAGTCAGGCCATTTCTGAGTAGAGGCCATTTCTGCTCAGCTCTGTGGTGGGTTAGGAAACATGGCGTGGAATCCCCAGCCCAGACTGACCGAGATCTGATCTGTTTCTGTTTGTAGAAGCCTCAGGCTATAGATATGCAGATCCTAAAACATTCATCCCATGAGGGCCCTGTGAACTATGAAGCTCAACCCACCACGGAACTCAGAATGGGGCTTCCACGCCATGATAACACAAATGCACAATTTCCTGACAGGCCTGGCTGTGGCCTCAGTTGTCTCCCGAGAACCTTCTTTTTTTTTTTATTCCAGCATGTTCTATAACATTAGGCTGGAGATTTATTTCTTTTTGGGGGGGGGAGGTATCCAGCTGTAGGGCCTGAACTCTGGGCCTGGGCGCTGTCCCTCAGCTCTTCAGCTCAAGGCTAGCGCTCTACCACTTGAGCCACAGCGCCACTTCCGGCTTTTTTTCTTTTTGCTCATGTGGTGCTGAGGAATCGAACCCAGGGCCTCAGGCATGCAAGGCAAGCACTCTACCACTGAGCCACCTTCCCAGCCCTGGAGATTTATTTCTTCTAGGAGATACTTTAAAATCACAGCCAGAAAATTTTGATCAGCCAAAATTATGTACTGAATAAGGCCCGTCACCTCTCGACGAATCTCAGCCCCACTGCCTTTATGTGCTCGTGGGCCGTGCTCATTTCCACGTTGGGCATCATTCTTTTTATTCCTATTTTTTTATTCTCTTTAAGGGGTTTCGATTCAATGGACTAGTTTATCTTTATAACGCGTCTCACTCAGAGTTACCTCTTCCATTCTTGTATTCCTCCCACACTTTATGGAACTGATTTGCTGGTACTTTAATTAGCTGATTGTTTGCAGGATGGTAGATTAAATTTAGGGCCTTAGACATGGTAGGCAGGCATTCTGTTCCCTTGAACATTTTTGCTAGGACTTTGTTTCAGGGGCAGAGCCTAACTTTGCCAGTTGGCCTCGAACTCGAGGTCTTCCCGCTCTGTTCCAGAGCATCTGGGATGAGATGTACACCCCTGTAATTTCTGGTGTCTATCCATCCTCCTGGTATTGATTTACTGTATCATAGCCAGTTGGTTTTCTCATGCATTTGGGGAGATTTTCATCTTCAAAACCATCCTATGTTCTCTTCTTTGCCATCTTGTTCCATGTTTCCTTGTGATACCAAAAACAAGTTGCTGTGTTTCCAACAAGTCTTGTTGGGCTGGTGGGGTGCTTGTCCTGGGCTCACCTTCTGCCTTTTTCGGCTGCATGGGTAGCTGCCTGCTTTCCCTTTCCACAGAAGGTCCAGATGCTTTGGCATAGACATCTGCCTCTCTTCAGTTCTCTCACAGCTCAGGTTCTGCATGGCCACTGGGTGTTGTGGAGTTGGGCTAATTCGAGTATGTCTTGGTTGGAGGGGAGGCAAGGACGGTCACATGGCTGGCAGTCTGGCTCCTGCCCGGTGCGCACCGGTGGTTCTGCACTCTCCCATTTGAGTTTCTCGCTCCCTTTCTCAAGAGGTGCAGAGCAAACCACAGCAGGGCCTGGTGACAGTGGTGTTTGTTGCAGACAAGTTGGCTTGCAGTTCGGTCAGGACGGTGACATCTTCCTAGCGTAACTGTGATTTGAAGGGGGGGTGTTAAACACTGGCGACTCTTTCCTGCTTCTAGGAAAAGCAGATCTGCTTTAGCTGGGCTTTTGGACTCCATGCCCCTATCTACTGTTTCGAAGGCTCTGAAGGCCTTCTGTGGGAAGGGACAGTGACAGGAGTGGCCCTGACCTTCTGGCAGGAAGGGAAAGTCAGAGGGCATGACAGAGGGGAAGGCCAGGCCTACCGGCCAGCACTGTGTAGCAGAGGTGGAAGCAGCAGCTCAGACTGGAGCCAGCTTCGACCTTATTGTGGCGGATACAGGAACAGAGCAGCGGATTCTGTCATTTATTACCCAGTGCTGGATTTTCCTCTGACCTTCTCCAATGTCAGCCATGCAGCAAGGAGATTCATTTATCACAAAAGAAAAATATCGCCTCTGAACTCATCTGAAACATCCCAAACCTGCAGCCCTACAGAAAGACAGGGGAGAAGACTGGCCATGAGTTTCAATGAGCTTGAAATCGCTCGAGAACTGAGGCCAGGAAGGTCAACTGGGCGGCCATTTGTCCCCATGTACGGCTTACCGTGCCATCAATGGGACTTTTTATTTCTATACCCTAAAGTCTGCCGTCTCTCATATTACCGCAGGAGAGATGCCAACCAAAAAGAAATCCGCAGACTGAGTGACAAGCATAAAACATGATCTCACACAGGCTTGGAGCCCGGGAGCCGGCGCCCATATGGCAGGAGTTTGGAATCCCCCTACTCCTCTCCCTGTCCCCTGCCTCTGCCCCGCCCCCCGTGGATGTCCCTGGTCTGCCCACCCTGGGGGCTCCTGTATGCACCCTGGGTCTGTCCCTGTGTTCACGTGAAGGCATGTACTCAGGCACCCACTCTGCTGTGCTGGGATTACAGGTGAACCCCACCACCGCCACACAGCGGAGAAAGGGAATTTCATATGTGTCGTTAAACTAAATAAGATTTTAATGGTTTACTTATCCGTGGCTATTTAAATGATGGTTCTTAACAGCAAAATGACATTGTACAAAAGTAGAAACTGGGTAAAATAGCAATTTCCTTGGAATATTAGTCTTAAATTGCAATTGTTTTTGACTCATTCAGCTAAATTGCTCAAGAAACAATGGTGCTGTGCCGCATGTTCTCCTTGGCTAAAGCCCTTGTCATGTAAGAAAAGGGCATTTGCCAGGTGCCGGTGGGTCACATCTGTAATCCTAGCTACTCAGGAGGCTGAGGTCTGAGGATTGAGGTTTAAAGCCAGCCTGGGCAGGAAAGTTTGTGAGACTTTATCTCCAATGAACCACCAGAAAACCAGAAGTGGTGCTGTGGCTCAAGTGGTAGAACGCCAGCCTTGAGTGAAAGAGCTCAGGGGTAGTGCCCAGGCCCTGAGTATATGCCCCAGGACTGGCCAAAAGAAAAGGGCATTCCTCAATATTTAGCACTTCAGTTTCCTTTGAAACCTATAATTTCATGTTTTGCTTTATGCTATTTTGTGATTTTATTTCCTTATGTATCTTATTCTTTCACTGTTTTGATAACTTCTCCAAATAAAATTGTTTTTCCACTCGAACTAATATTAGGAGATTTCTTAGCTCTCTTGGAATCACTCTAGGACTTAAGGTAATGTCAAACTTAATAAAAGAAAAGAAACAGTGTTTTCTTTGAGTTGTAAGGCTATGGGTGACTATTTGCTCTTTAAGTTGTGCAAACGCTCTGACGTGTTTACATCTCTGGCCAGAACCATGCTCATTATGTTAGCAGTGGGGAGTCCAGAGTGAACATGGGGCCATAGACCTTACAGGTGCTGGCTGAAGAAATCACAGCAACAGACAGCGGGCTACTACACAACTGCCAATGGTCCTTGGATGTCAACATCCACCCTACCGTGTCTTTTAGAAAAATCCAGAATGGTGATTAATTACATCACTGGGAGAGAACCAGGCAACTGTGAGGTGAAGAGGGAAGAGTGCAATGGATGCTAGTAAGAAAAGGTCTAGAAGCACACTCTGTTACCAGAAACAGAATCGATTATTTTGGAAATATGGTGGTTTCTCCTGTTCTGAGTGTTATTGTAGAATTACAAGATTATCAGCTGAGCGCTTGCTTCACATTCTAGTATCGATA